GGGGATCCGGGCATCCAGGGGGTGATGTTTGGAAGGAGGCGGTGCAGGGGGGGGTTCCTAGGAATTCGGGGAGGGATGTTGCATGAATTGGGAAGGGTCCCCAAGTTTCTGGGTGGGTCCTGGGGTTCCGGGGGGGGGTCCTAGGTTCTCAGGGCGGGTCCGAATATGGGGAACGCGGTTTTCCGAGGGGGAGAGGGGAGGGAGGGGTGTAGGGAGCCCCAAGAAAGGGGGGGGGGGGGGGGGGGGGGGGGGGGGGGTGGGAAGGAAAGAAAAAGAAAGCACGGGAGTCACTCCATGCTGAGATTTTGTACTTTTGTGTCTCCTGAAAGTGAATGCATCAGTCAGGAATCAAAGGTTTGAAAAGTCATTCAGCCCCTCCAAATTAGAAGGCCAACCATCTGCACGACGGGATGGAGCTCTCCTCAAAGGCTGGAGGCCGGGGCTGATCCCGGTGACACCGGGTTAAGCCTGGAGTGTCTCCACCAGGGTTAGAACCAGTTCACCCAGCATCCCAGCTTCTGGCCTGGTGCATGCCTCTCCCTGCCAGGATAACGTTCTGGACCCAGCCCTTTCATGTTGTATCACCATAGTGACGGGCTCCTCTGCTCCAGAGCTGATGAGGAACCGCTGTGGGGTTGTCCAATGTTAATTAATCCCTTTTAGGCAAAAATTTGAGCTCAGTGGAAACCGCAAAGACAAGGCAGCCCATTCAGAGCCCTGCAGCCTCTCACCCTCTGTGATTTTAGCAATACATCTTGCCCTCAAGTCCCACATGCCGCAGCAAATCCCTTGTGTTTCCTGGAAGCCAGAGCAGTGATGGAAAGTCAATGGGAAGGAAAGATGTGCCGTGTGAGAAGTGAAGATACGCATGTGTCCTTACGGCTTTGCAGATAATGCTGTTTGGAGAGCCTGGGTTGTGATGCAGGCTCCCCGAGGTGCTGCGTTTTTGGGTGGGAGCCAAACAGCAGGAAAACTGAGAGGGTTTTTTTTTCCTGCAGCCAGGAAAACCGAGCACAAAGGAAGAGCTGGGTCTGAAGCACTGCCTGGCTTAGACCATTGGGCTTGAATCGCCCTGAGGCATCGTAACTAATCCAGAGGTGCCTCTCTAGCATGAGCGCCTTGGGGGTGGCCCTCACCTGAGGTACCTCAGGCAGGTCCCTAAAGGTAAGTGAGATGTGTCCATGGGGAGAAAGAGATCCCAAAGCTAGTCCTGACTTCAGTTAGGCACAGGTCACAGAGACGCTCTGATCCCAATAGCTGGACTTGCTGAGGTAAAACCAACCTGAGTGCATCCTCCTCTGCACTGCTCAGTGTCTTTGGGTCTCGGACACAACTGGATTGTCCCTAAGCCCTGATTGCAGGCTGGGCCACCTCCTGAAAGATGCCAAAAGTCATTACCCAACCCACCAAATGGTTTGGGGTCCAGATACCGTAGTAATGGACACATATGAGGTAAATATACTTCACTGCGTTTAATATGACAGATCCACAAATTTCTTATCCAGGATTCGGTTCAGGCCAAGTGTTTTGTTTTGTTTGTTTATCTAAGATATGTTTTTGGATGCTTAGCAGGAAAAAAAACCCCACCAACTGATGGATGTTCATTCTGTTTGTTTCAGATCTTCCTGGATGAGAAGGGAATGCCACCGCGAAGGAAGGATTACCGAGGGGAGGTTCAAGTTGTGTTGGAAGGGAACACAAGCGCCGTGCGTTACGCGTGTCACCACCACAGCAGGTCAGTGCCTTTTCCCTGGAGTCAGAGTTCTGAGAGTAGCATCTGTGATAAACTCAGTCAGACCCTGCATATGGATTTAAAGGTGATAAAAATGTCACGGTTGAAACTCACTTGTGTCAGAAAGGCTTAAATGATTTTAAAAATGGTACTAGATCAAGTGTTTTATAGTAAGCAAATGGTTGATGAAAATAAGTTTCTGCAGTGAGGCAGACTGAGTCAACTTTGAATTTTTCTGCTCTTTTGGATGGACGTTGGGTTTTTGCATTAACCCCATGAGGTAGTTTGCTTGGAAAAGTCTGTGAGTTCTGGCTTGTTGCTTGCGAAGTGCTGAGAACACTGTGACATCTCTGAAAATACAAATAATAATAGGTGGTTATGAACAACAGCTTATCAAAATCTTTTGTGATGGCTTAGAAACCCATGAATTCTTTTGCTCTCTGATTCACCCCTTGAAGTATCCTGTGCTTTGATTTCTAGCTTTGGATGTCAGTAATGTGCAGCTAAGATCTGGGGCAGTTCCTAAGAAATTGAATGCAATTTGCTTTCTTTGAAAGAGTTTCAGACCAGGCCAGTTCTACACCTGGTGGCTTCAGGAGAAGTTATTCCCTAATCTGGTGGTCAGGATTTGCTTCTCCTGCTTAGAAGTTTCAAGTTCTTACAGTTCTCCTAACCAGGACTCACTCTTAGGATGGCTTCCTGGTGCTTTGATCGTTCCTTTAGTTAACTTCCACATGGTTTATGCATATTCAGCTACTGAGAAGACCAGGTGCTGGTGTAAACCATTCATGCTTTATATTCCTTTGAGTCTGAAAACTTTTTAGGTGCATAGTGTTTTATAGTTTATGTATATCTCTTGTACTGTCTGTGCAGACTCCTGTAGTTGAAGACTGGTTCTGTTTAAGGTTAAGCGTGTGGTTGGGCCACCTGGGTCACAGCCCTGTGCTTCCTTTGGGTGACTGGGGAGAAATAAATGGGTGCAAAAGGCGACTCAGACATCAAGCAGATTGACTGTTGCTCTGAAAGTGTCCATCTGTCCTGCTGATCACAGGGAGAGCCGAGGGAACAGCAGAAAGGGGATGGATCCAGGGCACTGCTGTGCAGGCTTTTAAACGTGCTGCGGAGAAAGAAGCCAGGTCTCCCTATGGGGTGTCCTGCTTTGGGAGCTGTTGTGGAGATGGGATACAGAACCACATCTATATCGGGTGGCAGGGACATTACTTCATGTTCTTTTCTTCTTAAGCTTATCTGAGGGGAGGAAGCTGTGAACGTTATCTTTTTCTGAGTGGAAAAACTGATTTCAAGTACATATGTTTGAAGCTAGCAGCAGCATGAGCCAGGTTAACTTGACTAAATAGGCGTATGAAGCCACAAAATCTGACTAGAGCCTAATTAGAAACCAGGATGCCTCCCAGCACTTCAAGGTTTCTTTTAAGATTATGATGAGCTGACAAAACACATTAGTGAGAGGTGGAATTGGTATGAGCCACGTTTGGCATTTCACTACTTCGTGGCAGCAACAAGAGGCCCAATATACAGATCAGAACCACACGTGCACAGGCCTGGATCAATTCAGTCCACCTTCTTTGTGGTGTTCAGTACCTGAGTTAGTTGCACAAAGCTCTTGGGGTGGGAGATCACCTTTGGGGAGGCTGCTGATCTGCTGCAGAGCCCAAGAAGACTATGCTCTTAACAGAAGGTCTGGATTAATTGCCTGCGCCTTGGTGGGATGAACGCAAGCCAGGATGTGGTGTCCGGAGAGACAACACGTGGGCCAAGTAGGTTGAAAAGGAGGATACCAGGTCCTCACAAATGATTTGTAGAGCAGAGGCTTTGCAGTCTGCCAGCCGTGGGTCGTTTGCGAGCAGGGGTGAGGATTTGAAGAGTTGAAGGAGGGCACGGTGGTAGTTTTATACGTTTCTTTCCAAGGATTTATTTTGCTTTGCGGCACTGCTCTCGTTACCGCGAGCCGGGATTCCTCTGCTCCCCATCCTGCACATGAACACAGACACTGTGCTGCCTCTGTCTGTGGGATGGAGCCATCAGTGCTGGAGCGGGGCCCTAAAACTGTTGTCCCTGAGCAGAGCCAGGCTGCCAGCGAGCCGCGGGGCTGATTGATGCCATCCTCCGCGTCCGACGCCAGCAGGTGCTTCACCTCTCTGGGCACTGCCAAGCTCCCTCCCGCTGTTCTCCCCACTTCCAGTATTTCATCTTTCCTCAACGCTGCTGTTTTCACTCCCTCTGCCTGGTTCCCAGCCCTCTTTCAGAAGCTCGGTCTCGTTTGCCGTTGTCCTGGTGCCAGAATTTGCAGTGGGAGGCGATGGAGCCGCCTCTGCGTGGGGAGGCCTTGTGCTCGCTGGCTCCACCGTCTGGGCCTGGCCCCGGGCACAGAGCTCAGCAGCCCCTCACAGGTCCCCTTGCTTTCTCTCCAAAAATATGATTAGAGGGTTGAAAGTGAGCAGACAGCTGGTATGCCCTCCCAGGGCAGCCTCCGTGCCTGGGCCTCCATTGTTTTTGTCCAAATCATATCTGATTCCTTTCCAAAAGCGTTTCAGTCCGTAAAACCAGACCAGGTGCCTTTGGTTGTGCTCATTCCTGAAATACCAGCTGTGAACAAAAGCATTTTTAGATCGGTCGTTCTTAAAATGGGTACGAAATTCATGTCAAACTGGGATAGGGGTTTTTTTTTCCCCCAATTAAAGCATTTGAATCTTCCCTTATGCTTTGCAGATAGAAAACTGACCTTTTTCAAACCAATCCTTGATTTTGTACCCAATTTACTGTATTCTCTTTTACTAGATCTTCAAAATTGCTTCATGCCATGGAGTAGGCTCTGAAATCTGACCTCTACGTGCGTTCTTTGCACCTTGACCTCTTGGGTTTTTTACAGAATCACAGAATCTTCTAGGTTGGAAGGGATCTCAAAGATCATCTTGTCCAAAACTACCAGCAAGCCTGGTGATAGCTTTTGCTGCAATGAGCTTTCCCATTCTGCTCAGCAATCTGCCAGAACAGAGGGAAAAAGCAAAAGAAACCTTACCTTACCAGCCAAAATTTGTGGAAGCGTTTAAAAGCTCGGGTGGCCTCTGAGCCTTGGTTTAGTTCTGCATCCCCGTGAAGTGCCAAGCTAAGTGCTTTGTCCTCCAGACTGTCCTTCGTCTAAACAGCATGAGCAGCACCACTGGCACCGGGGCTATGGAGGAGCTCCCGATGCTGCCAAGAAGATGGGCTGTAGTTATGGAGCAGAGATCTGCCAACCTTCTGTGCTGGGGAGTTTGCAAACTTCCACGACGCATCTGTTTTATTTCAGATGGGGGATTGCACTGAATAGTCCTTTTGTGTGCTCTGTCTCCCGCTACTAAAACTGGCTCTGAAGAAGCCAGAGATAAATATGACAGCTACTGTTAGAGAGTATCCCCTGGGTACTACGGCCTGACCTGCACCCACTGTCTATCTTAACGTTGTCAGTAATAATGTTTATATTGCTGTGTCAACTTCGTTTCTTATCGCGTCACCAGAGATGGGCCAAGGGAAGGTGGAGAGCTTTTCTGTCCCTCTGCATTCAGGGTCATTGGGAGGTCCACAGATGGGACAGACGCTTTGCTGCTGAACTGTTTACCCTGACAAACGCCACGATGTCCCACGTATCATTCAAGGGGCAAACAGTGCTGTCACCAGGGTGGACTGAGTGGCACGACTGGAGATCGGCAGGTCTTCCTGCCCACGCTGTGTGTCCCTATAGCAGGTTTTGCAGAGGTAGGCTCTGTCCACGTTTCTCGTGGGACATTACCTTCCAAACTGCCCCAGGTTCTCTGCATGGGTTCAGGTGCCTGCAGTAGCCCTAACTGCAGTTTTCTGGGCTTTTTTCCTGCATCATTAAATGGGCTTTGTGTTCCGTGGTAGAAATTCTTACACTTCAGTGGGAGGGGAAGTGGTTTTGTGTGTCTATCACTGGATAAAGGTGTGTTTGCACATGAGTGTATCAACATCAAGGGAGTATGAGCGTTGCTGTGCCTGGCATAGTGTTTGTTGTTACCTGCCTGGGAGCTCTGGGTCCCAGGAAAGTGGTGTAAAGAGGAGGCTGTTCCATTGCATCTCTGAGCAGAAGAGGTTTCCTTGAACCAGGGTTGAACCAGGGTTTCCATCGGTTGATCTTAGAAATAACTACTCCTTGGAGTGGTTATTCTGGAAAATTTGACCCATTTCATTTGTGTTGAAGCATCAGCGGCAGCAAGAAGCGCTTTTGCCTCGAGCTCTTGTCGTTCAGTTGCTGGAATCTCACCAGTTCAAGACATCACCCAGTCAGAGCCACTGGGAGCTCGGCTCTCCCTGCGCTGTCTCTGGACAGTGTTTGACTAGACTGCTTTTATCTCTCAAGTCTGTCTGTGGGAGTTGAATCTTTGTACAGAGCCTGCATTGCTTGGCATCTAATCTGCACGAGTTGACTCAGTCAGCCTCAGAAGGCAAGGGGGGAGGGAGATAAGTAGGAGGAAGAAAGGTGGGAGTGGAAAATAACATATTTGAGGGGACAGCAGGAAGCCTAAGCTCATTCGCATCTTGGGAATTGCTCAGGACATGACCAAGTGAGTGTTTCCTCATCCCCTCTTCTTTTTTTTTTTTTTTTTTTTTTTTTTTTTTTTTTTTTTTTTTTTTTTTTTTTTTTTTTTTTTTTTTTTTTGTGGCTTTTTTTTTGGTTTTATTCCCCTGTGGGCCAGGAAGAAAGGGTGCCTCGGAGGGCATGAGCAGGGGAACCCCAACCTGGGTGATGCCCTTTGCAAATGTCACTGGAAAGCCAAGTGTCCCAGGTGGGTGGTAACCTGGACCCACCAAGATAGCTCAGTTGCCAAGATCTTCTTTATATTCTTTTCTGTGGTACCTGGATTTCCATTGAAGAAATGGAACATTCCATGTTCAGTCCAGTCCTTGCTGATACCTTGAGAGGAGCTCCCTGCGTGGAGGATATTTTAATATACATTTCGTTATTATTGTTTGCTTTTTCTGTG